ACTAAGTCTTGTCTGCTTTCAGTCAACCCTTTAAACGACATATACAATTTCTTAATCTTGTCTGCCTACTATGTCAATCCTTTAAATGACATAGACAACCCACTAAGTCTTGTCTGCTTTCAGTCAACCCTTTAAACGACATAGTCAGATCCTGAGTCTTGTCTGCCTACTACTGTCAATCCTTTAAATGACATAGACAACCCACTAAGTCTTGTCTGCTTTCAGTCAAATCCTTTAAACGACATAGTCAGATCCTGAGTCTTGTCTGCCTACTACTGTCAATCCTTTAAATGACATAGACAACCCACTAAGTCTTGTCTGCTTTCAGTCAACCCTTTAAACGACATAGTCAGATCCTGAGTCTTGTCTGCCAGTCCTATATTAAACCTTTGGAAGAGTATGGTTATAAGTGTAGTGGTTAATGTGTATAATTTGTACGTTCTTTATTTAATTACCTAGTAATATATCTTACTTCAAAGTTAAATTGATAAAGGTGTAGAGCTTACGAGCTCTTGTTGAATACCTAATTTTTATATTAATGTGACGAAAACCATCTTATAACATATGTATATTTTCTCTGGATAGAAGGCAACACTAGCAGAGAAAGAAGTGGCCACATTGAAGGAAAGACTGGATGCTGCTAAACACTCTCTTCAATTAGTTGAACAAATCCAGAAAGCTCCGGATATGGAGAAAGCCATCGAGGTGCTTAGCCGATCATCTCTAGAGGTCGAACTAGCTGCTAAAGAAAAAGAGGTAATTAGCGCCAGCAGGTGACGTTGTATCTCGGGTAGTTACGTTCATTGTACAGTCTTGTAACTCTGTTCTTAAGTGTGTTTAAGCTATTCTGTTAACAATGATTTCATGTAGCCCATTTAACCTGAATGTATTGTAGGTCGCATGATGGGATATCGGTAGTTTTATGGATTTAGAACCTCCAAAATCCGGTTTTCGATTCCCAACGGTGGACACAGCAGGTAGCCCAATGTGGCTTTGTTCCGAAACAGTGTTGTAGAAAGTGGCTCCATCTAGTAGCTCTGTATGAAATGTCATAGTTCAATAAGCAATTATAACGAATGTGTGGTGTTTAGTGAAAATGAATTTTATGTTACAATCAGTAAGTAGTGTCATAGTATCGCCCAAAACACTAGAAGATTGTCCTCAGGAATATCACAGGGTTCTCCAGTACACTTGGAGATCATCCACAGAAAGGTCCAAATATTCTTCATTAAACTAGAAGATCATACTCAAGAAGATCACAGTTCTCCAGTACACTAGAAAATAGTTTACAGGAACTATCACGTTATTTTCTAGTACACTTGAAGATTGTTTACAATAAGTGTCAGAGTATTGTCTAATGCACCAGAAAGTAGTTTACAATAAGTGTCACAGTATTGTCTAATGTGACAGAAAGTAGTTTACAGTAAGTGTCACAGTATTGTCTAATGCACCAGAAAGTAGTTTACAATAAGTGTCACAGTATTGTCTAATGTGACAGAAAGTAGTTTACAATAAGTGTCACAGTATTGTCTAATGTGACAGAAAGTAGTTTACAGTAAGTGTCACAGTATTGTCTAATGCACCAGAAAGTAGTTTACAATAAGTGTCACAGTATTGTCTAATGCACCAGAAAGTAGTTTACAATAAGTGTCACAGTATTGTCTAATGCACCAGAAAGTAGTTTACAATAAGTGTCACAGTATTGTCTAATGTGACAGAAAGTAGTTTACAATAAGAGTCACAGTATTGTCTAATGTGCCAGAAAGTAGTTTACAGTAAGTGTCACAGTATTGTCAAATGTGCCAGAAAGTAGTTTACAGTAAGTGTCACAGTATTGTCTAATGTGCTAGAAAGTAGTTTACAATAAGTGTCACAGTATTGTCTAATGCACCAGAAAGTAGTTTACAATAAGTGTCACAGTATTGTCTAATGCACCAGAAAGTAGTTTACAATAAGTGTCACAGTATTGTCTAATTCGATAGAAAGTAGTTTACAGTAAGTGTCACAGTATTGTCTGATGCACCAGAAAGTAGTTTACAATAAGTGTCACAGTATTGTCTAATGCACCAGAAAGTAGTTTACAATAAGTGTCACAGTATTGTCTAATGCACCAGAAAGTAGTTTACAATAAGTGTCACAGTATTGTCTAATGTGCCAGAAATTAGTTTACAATAAGTGTCACAGTATTGTCTAATGCACCAGAAAGTAGTTTACAATAAGTGTCACAGTATTGTCTAATTCGATAGAAAGTAGTTTACAATAAGTGTCACAGTATGGTCTAATTCGATAGAAAGTAGTTTACAGTAAGTGTCACAGTATTGTCTGATGCACCAGAAAGTAGTTTACAATAAGTGTCACAGTATTGTCTAATGCACCAGAAAGTAGTTTACAGTAAGTGTCACAGTATTGTCTAATGCACTAGTATCACAGAAATGTCTACTATACTAGAATGAAATCCAGTACAATAGAAGATAGCTTTCAGGAAGTTAACAAAGGATCTTCTATTACACTAGAAGTAAATCACATGTTAAGATCGTTAAGTTAACAAAGGATCTTCTATTACACTAGAAGTAATGCACATGTTAAGATATTTAAGTTAACAAAGGATCTTCTATTACATTAGAAGTAATGCACATGTTAAGATTGTTAAGTTAACAAATTATCTTCTATTACACTAGAAGTAATGCACATGTGAAGATCGTTAACTTAAGAAAGGATCTTCTATTAAATTAGAAGTAATGCACATGTGAAGATCGTTAAGTTAAGAAAGGATCTTCTATTACATTAGAAGTAATGCACATGTGAAGATCGTTAAGTTAACAAAGGATCTTCTATTACATTAGAAGTAAATCACATGTGAAGATTGTTAAGTTAACAAAGGATCTTCTATTACATTAGAAGTAATGCACATGTGAAGATTTATATTTAAGTTAACAAAGGATCTTCTATTACACTAGAAGTAATTCACATGTGAAGATTGTTAAGTTAACAAAGGATCTTCTATTACATTAGAAGTAATGCACATGTTAAGATTGTTAAATTAACAAAGGATCTTCTATTACATTAGAAGTAATTCACATGTGAAGATTGTTAAGTTAACAAAGGATCTTCTATTACATTAGAAGTAATTCACATGTGAAGATTGTTAAGTTAACAAAGGATCTTCTATTACACTAGAAGTAAAGCACATGTTAAGATTGTTAAGTTAACAAAGGATCTTCTATTACACTAGAAGTATATCACATGTGAAGATCGTTAAGTTAACAAAGGATCTTCTATTACACTAGAAGTAACTCACATGTGAAGATCATTTTCTTGTACTTTAAACACAGGATACTGAATAAAACTGAGATTCTTTTAAAGTGGAAATTTTGTACTGTATGTTTCCTAGCTGAATAACAAAGTATTATTTGACAAACAAAATTTGCCAAGATATTTTGAATAAAATATTCATTTTAACTTTACTACTGAAGTACGTTTGGCATTCGTATCTGGATTATGAAGTTCATTTGTGCTCTGCCTTCTAATTATCTTGACAGATTTCCCAGCTAATGGATGACATACAGAGTTTGCAGTCTACTGTCAATAACTTGAAACAGACAAGTGCCTCACAAGTGAGTACGTTTTTTGTACCACCTAAAACATGTATATCTCCACCATTTTAGCCAAGTGAAAACTATTTCTGTAGAGAGTGAAAAACTAATTAAAATTTGAAAACATACAATTAAATTATTTAATATAAAAATAAAATAATACATAATTAATATCTGACTGATAAACTAAACTATTGTGTATGATGATAATTTTTTTAAACATCTGCAGATTACTCGTCTTGAAGAATTGTTAGTGGAAAAAAATCAGACCATCCAGGAGCTGGAAGAAAAGCTTACCCAGCAGAAAGATTATAAAGAGATCAAGAAAGAACTAAGGTAGTGGATATTTCTTCTTGTTGCTTACTTTGTAATATTTACAATGTTAGTTTTGAAAATATATGCTTAATTTGTTTATTTGGCTTTTATTTTTAATTTCCTAATTATTGTTAACAGGAGGATCTGTGGTGTTTAGAGGATTGATATTAGGCATTTATATTAGTTTTCCTAATGAACACTAGTGTTTCCTTAAATTTGTGATTAAAGTCAAATATTCAATTCCAATGTTACCAGTAATGAACAATAGTGTCTAACGTGTCCTTAAATTTCTGATTAAAGTTTAATATTTAATTCTGCTTCTAACAATAATGAATACTATTGTCTGTTGTGTCTTTACATTTCTAATCTTAGCAATAATGAACTCTAGTGTCTATTGTGTCCTTAAATTTCTAATTAAAGTTTAGTATTCAATCCTAATGTTACCAATAATGAGCACTAGTTTTTAGTGGGGCCCGGCAAGGCCAGGTGGTTATGGCGCTCGACTCGCAATCTGAGGGTCGCGGGTTCAAATCCCCGTCACACCAAACATGCTCGCCTTTTCAAAGAGGGAAGGCTGTCAAGTAGGTTGCATCCTTGATGAAAGAAACAGCTTTAGAAACGATGGCAGATCTTGCTCTGCCATCGGCTTAACGGTCCACAAGGACTATGAGAAATGAAAAAAAAAAATTTCTAGTGGGTTCTTACATTTGTGATTGAAATTTATTATTCATTTCCAATGTTACTAGAAATGAAGAGTAGTGTCTAGTAAATTGTAATTAGAAATTAGTATTTAGCTCCAGTGTTAGCAGTGATGAATACTAGTGTCTAGCATACTTTCACATTTGAGATTACAAGTTAATATTCAGTTACAGTATGGTGAATATGGTGCTTAACTCCCAATTTGTGAATCACAGGATCAAAACCTGTTGCTGATCAGCTGTGGACATGTTATAAGGTGACAGCCAATCCCACTATTTTTTATAAAGAATAGCCCATGAATTGGTGTCGATTAGCTGCCTTCCCTTTATTCCATCATTTCAAAATTAGGGGCTGCTAGCACAGGTATCTCTCAGGTAACTGTGTATGATTCCGATGTAACCAATAATGAATACTAGAGTGGTTAAAGTTTAATTTCTAGTTCCAGTACAGGGTTGTAGGCAGCACTACACTGTAGGGGGGGGGGGAGGCTTTTTCCAAAAAAAAATTGAGACCTTTTTTCTGTACAAAGAATTTAAGTGATTTACATGCGAGTCAAGTGTTTATTTAATAAAAATCAGAAGACAGTAGACTTTTCTTAGAATACTTGGATTGTTCTTCAACATCCTTCCTCCTGTCTACCCCTCTGTCATGTTAGCAATGATGAATACCAATGTTTAGCATGTGTGTCCATTTGTGGTTAAACTTTTTTCAATAATTAACTAAGAACAGTTGAAATATCTCTAACTTACTGTCTACAGCATTTTAAAGTCTATGGAATTTCCTAACAATGAAAATGCTGAAGAAGATAATGGTATCGCCACATCAGGACCTGAATCTATTTCAAAGCCTCTTGAAGTTCAGCTTTTGGAGAAAAACAAATCCTTGCAGTCCCAGAATACTGCTCTGAAAGTAGCTAATACTGACTTGTCTGGTAGGAAAAAGTATTTTTAGTGATTGTTTTCTTATCATTAAAGTATGTCTTTACTAGGAACACAGGATTTTCATTTCTGTATGAAGTTGAGTGAACGTTTTATCAATATACAGTGAAATATTTTACACCCTTAGAGGTTGAACCTTGCATTAAATTCTAATTCTCTCTTTCCTTCTATGTGTGCATGGACCCAGTAATGTTCTACACACCTAATTCATGATACGGAGAAGAGTATTTGTCTGTTTATATTATTGTTCTCTATCATATTTACAAAGTTTTTCTCAGAAATCTAAGATTTGTCATTTGGGAGGACAGTAACTCTTGTTTTTCACTTATTTTGTCAATAATTCAACTTCTTGGACTTTCACACTTTATTCTTACACTGTATGTTTGTAATTGTTTTTTAAATATGTTTTTCCAAGCTATTGATTGAAAAGACAGACACTATTCGAAAATAGTATTCATCAGAAGTATAGCTTGTCGTATTTACTAGATCCGAAAGAAGTAGTCTGAAAATATATTTTGAATTACAGACATAATTAGACACTCAAGAAATGAAAATAAAGTATTTTGAAAACTCAAATTCAAGACAGAATGTTTCTCTTTTGTTTTCCATTTTGCTATCTACTCATATAATGGGATATTATGTTGAACAGAAAAATGAAACCGAAGATAATTTATACAATCATTATTTTTAACTTTTACACAATTTTTCATGTTTTTTATTCACAGTGTTTTTAATAGCAAAAGTCTTCATTTGTTTTTTAACTATGATTGTGTATGAACACTATTCTGTTCAGTGAATACAGAGATGTTATCCAGTGTGAATTCCTTGCGTTACTAAGAACTCCACATTTGATTTCACATCTAAAACACAGATGTTACATCATTTCACACTTAAAAGGACATTCAAGAAAGGTGTTGGAAGCTACTCTGTGGTAAAATACCCTTGATATCAGTATCACCACATGAAATTTTTTTTTTCTTATTTTATCAAATTTTTTCTGTCTTTGGTAAAACATTTCACTTTTGACCCAGACCTGACCATGATTCGGCTCTTTCTGCACCTTTCTTGCAGGTCCCCTCTCTCATCAGGGAAATCCGCTTCCACTTCAAACTGTCGAGAACATTGGCTCTCTCTTAGGCGAAGAAATTGTGTCCACATATACCAATATACTGAAAAAAGAAGATCAGAGTAGCCCCCCACCTCTGACTACCCCAACCCAGGACATGTGTCCCCCAGTTGCACATCAATCCCTGAATGGCACCAAACTGGGTGAACTTCCAAAATATAAAGATTCTTCTTGTGATCACGTGACCTTAGACAAACTCCAAGAGTGCCTGGGTCAATGTTTGGAAAAATATGCAAATGAAACACTGAACACATTATACATTGCTCGGTGCGTGCGGGAACTGTTGAGCATGCATAATATTGGGCAACGCCTTTTTGCCAAGTTTGTGCTTGGCCTTTCACAAGGTACTGTAAGTGAACTACTTTCCAAACCAAAACCATGGGAAAAACTGACTGAAAAAGGAAGAGACTCCTACAGGAAAATGCACGCGTGGGCTTCAGATGACACCTGCGTTTATATGCTGAAAGCTTTAGTGCCCAAGAAAGGTGGGTTTTATTTTTATATTTTTTACTTTATGTATATATATATATGTTAGAGTTCCAGCAGTCAAACTTGGCATTATTGCCAGAACAATGCTTATAATATTATTTGACTTAAAAACCCTTCACTTTTTATTATTAAGGGTCAGGTTACCATGTAAGGTAGATGTCTTTAGTCTTCTTAGTGAGTGTGGGTATTCCAGTTTGCAACTGACAGGAAAATGTTGGGATGATTATTGTTTTCAGTTGTATAGTTGTAACATCATGTATAATCATGTAAGAGGTAGTATGAAATGATTTATTGGTAATTTTTCTCCACATGATTATCATCACAATTTTTAATTCTATGAAGAAAGTGTGTTGTTCAACTAGTGTGATACTAAAAAAACACATAGGGTAAAAAATATAGATAAATTACAATGTACGAACTCAAAGACTTTCAAATGAAGAGGTCTTTGTTTTGAAAATGTTTGGGTTTTTGGATTCTTCAATACTAATTATTGAGTAATCATTCTGTTTTGATAAAAGAGTTAGCACAAAGGATCACGTATAAAGTGTAATAAAATAAGACCCAAAACTTGAGCGCTTTTGATTAGTTGACTATTTTTCTTTAAGAGAACAAAGGGTGTTTTTTTTTTAGATTTAAACTTCGAAAGTTTGAGTAATTATTCTATTGACTTTTGAATGAAATCTAAAAATGAAATGTATTAAAATAATTTTAAATAGAACATAAACTTAACAGCATCTCTCATTTTAGTGTGGTTAACACATTCCTGAAAAATGTTGTGCCAAACACAAACGTGTTAAACAAAAATCAATTTCCCATAAGAATACATCTTATAAGGGGGAATGCATTCATAATCAGGACATTAAATAAGTATATAAAACGTTCATGTATTGTTGATGATTCAAACTTTACACTTTATTTCAAAGCAGTTTTTCTTTTTGAGCAACAATATTATGCAATATTAGCAAATCACATTAGATATAATTTATTAAATAAAGTTGATTTTTTCTTATTTTCACTATGATCACAAGCATAGGCTTCAATCTAAACTCCTCTTGGTATTAGTCCAAGAAGAAGGCTTAGCATTAAACCCAGGTGCATGCTTTTCTTCAGAAGAAATGAAAGTGCTATCAAAAAATTTTTTTCCAGTTTCCACGGCAATGAAGACCTGACATGATAAATACCGTGTTCTTCAATAATAGCCTTCAAAGATAAACTGAGCATATGGATATCTCATGCATGTGTTGGAGAATCTCATTTTCTATTTCAAAACATTGCTAAGTTGAAAATTTCTATCATGACTGGTTGAGCTAATAGAAAAAGTTCCCTAATATGAAAACATGCTAATAGAAAGTACACTAAACGGGGGATGCCAGTATTTTTGTTTTTTGATAAGCATGTCAGGAGTTAGTTAATGATTTGTTAATATATTACTTTGTAACTTTATAACTAAACTTCATAATTAACATTAAATTATTTAACTAGAAAAATGAAAAGATACTCTGAGAATGAAATTTGAACCTGAAATCTCTAGTTAACAAAGTTAGTGCTATAATCACTGAGTTACCCAAGAGTACAAGTGATCTCTGTGAATGGCCTTGTTAGTCAGGGGTCCTGGGTTCAATTTCACTTATGAGTTTTTCCAGTTAAATATTTAATATTAATCATTGTGATAAAACAATATTACTATTTCATGGTCTCCTTACTGAACCTAACAGTGTTAAAAGACCAGTGGTTACAGTTTAAGAATTTTTACAAATTTATTGACTATTTATAAAGTGAGAATCTCATGATTTTTTCATATTGAAACATAAGAACAGTAGTGCTTTATGAAATATTTAAGCTGTATTTGGTAATTTTGGAAGATAATATGCAGAACTAAATATCAGAATATTTACTCACTCTATAAACTGTAATTTTTTTTTCTAGCTTTGTTTGCTTGTTATAGTAAGCTTACTGTAAACTAAACAACAGTAATGTTTTAAGATTTAATTACAGTTAACAATAACACTTGTTTTCCCAAATCAGCTATTTTTTTAAGAATAGGTTGGTGTTATTCTTATTTATTTTATCTAAACCCTTGACAAGACTCACATCAGCTGTTATGCAGTTTCTCTTCCTTTAGTTTTATTACATGTGATAAGTGTTTGTTTACATGAATATCAAACCACACCTTACATATTGCCCTCAGACACTGGAACATGAATTTATAATTAACACATGTAACAGAAATTAGGTTCTCAGACTCTATTCAACTTAATGCACATTTGTTTTTATATTCTGGCAACCACTTGGATACATTTATGAATTTTCCTACACTGAATTCCAACAATATTCTTCTATTGTCTGAATATATGTGTGTAAACATGTTACAATAGTTTTGAATTTTGATTTTGTGAAGACATTAGTGCAAGTATTAGAGGTTTGCATTATGAAAAAATTATTATTGATGTTAAGTTTCTGAATTTTTTTTTCAACTGTATTGATTAAACAAGAACTTTTCTCTCATTACCACTAAGAATGCTTGTCTGTCTGAAGACCAATCATTAACTTTGTTTTTGAAAACTGTTGTTCAGGCCTTTGCATTTGTTTTTAAAATTTTTTAACATGACAGAAGCATGCATAGAAAACTATCAGATAACAGAAGTAGAAGATTGTTGATAAAGCCACAGTTTCTATTTGTTTAGGATGGTTGACAGGGGCACTAACTCATGTAACAGAAGTAGAAGATTGTTGATAAAGCCACAGTTTCTATTTGTTTAGGATGGTTGACAGGGGCACTAACTCATGGTAAAGCTATTTCTACTTCTTGGCAAACAAGTAAAGATTGTACCAACAATTCAAATCTCAGAAGCAAGTGCCAGGATGTTGCTCAACCTAAAAGTATGTAGGATTAGGGTTTCTTCAGTTTTCTTTGAAATAAAGATACCACACTGACCCCACTCTCTCTGGTTTGGATTTGAACAATATTGTTTCAGTCTCTGTTCAGTTAAGTCATTTTCAAAACAAAAAATCTGCTCAATTTCTTTTCCGCTTCTTCACCATATCTGATGTATCATTTCAACCACTTTAAGGCTCCTTTTTTCTTAAATAACTCAACTGGAAGCAGGTAGTAATTGCTGCTATTTCAAAGATAATTGTTAAGCCTAACCATCATACTTCAAAAGTAGCCATTAAGCTGAACCAGCAATAGATCACAATGCAATTTGTTTTATTTTAAATTTTATTTTTTTGTGTAAGGTTTTATTAGTGTTGAATGTTTCTGATATATTGGATTGTTTATATAAGGTACTCATCCTAAACTTGGTTGATATTGGATGTTTTATTTAAGGTACTCTTTACTCTCCTTAAACTTGATGGATATTGAATGGTTTATGTAAGGTACACATCCTAAACTTGGTTTGTTTAAGGTACTCATCCTGAACTTTGTTGATATTGAATGGTTTATGTAAAATATTCATACTGAACTTTGTTGATATTGGATGGTTTATGTAAAATATTCATCCTAAACTTTGTTGATATTGAATGGTTTATGTAAAATATTCATCCTGAACTTTGTTGATATTGGATGGTTTATGTTAAGTACTCATCCTGAACTTTGTTGATATTGAATGGTTTATATAAAATATTCATCCTGAACTTGGTTGATATTGGATGGTTTATGTAAAATATTCATCCTGAACTTTGTTGATATTGAATGGTTTATATAAAATATTCATCCTGAACTTGGTTGATATTGGATGGTTTATGTAAAATATTCATCCTGAACTTGGTT